GAATTATGGTGGTGGTTGTTAATCTTTTTTTTAATTGCATTATTTTTTTGAGTGTGCATGTGTACTGTCAAATTGGATCTGACTGGTACAGGAGGAGATTGTCCCTCCTTTTCCCGTAGAGCATCTGGTGGATTTGAACCGCTCACATCTGGTATTTCAGTGCAGCTTCTTGCCACTAGAGCACCAGAGCCCACCTGTTATTGTTGACTGCCTTCAAGTCGAGCACCACTCATGGCAACCCTATGAACAAAAGGCCTGAAGTCCCTTGGTTATTGGTTGTTACTTTGTGGTTAGTTAGGTGTTTGGAGTGCACTAGCAAACAAATGAACAAAAAACAAAACAGGCCAAGCCTTTGGGGATTTTATATTTGAACCCTAAATCTAGTCTTCAATTCTTCCAAGTTCAAATCCACCAGCCATTACTCAGGACGAAAGTGTAGCAGTTTGCTTCTCTAAAAAAATGTACAGTTCTACTCTGTCCTCCAGGGTTACTATGAGCTGGAATAAACTCAAAGCAGTCGGTAGGTTGTTTTTTTTTAAATTACTATTGTTTGTGAAGCATTAAAGGCAAAACTAAAACAAAATCCAACCTACTGCTGTCAAGTTAATCATCAGGTTCTCGAGGCTGTAAAACTTTATAAGAGGAGATGGCCCATCTTTCCCCTGCACTTAAATGCAAGTAAGAACTCAAAAGGCCATTGTTTATTATTATCCACTCTCAACAAATCTCGCCACTCCATCTAGAACTCATGAGTTCTAGATCTCTATCATAGAACTCTATCTCTAGAACTCTATCATAGACCAACTCTGCTTGAATTCTTTTTACAATAACAACAACAACAACAATAAATGAGCACCACTACCTATGAACCATATCTACTCATGAAGGAAAGCAAAACATTTCCTTTTACACATGAAAAAAATCTTAACCCAAATTGATAATGCCAAGTGTTTGATTACTACATGGTGAGCTTGCAGCAGAATTGAGGCCTCTTGCTCTCTGGTAGCGTCCGTTCTTATTTACTGGAGGAGTTTCTGCTTAGGGAAGACATTCTACATTTCTCCCTTGTTCTAGAAGTAGTAAGTCCGCTGGAAGCACCTGTGGAGTAAGCACAGAAGCCTCTCTCTTCATCACTGTCCTACCTTGGGAAGCCATGTCTAGTGGAGATATCAGAAAGAATAAAAATTTGTGCTAAGGGGGAAAAAATGAAGACAAAGGTCAAAGGGAATCAAGCAATAGGTTGAGTCAGTTAAGAAAAAGCATTTTCCCCTTCTCTCCTCTTTTTATCCAAAACAGTCTTTATACAGAACTTGTATAAGAGCCAATTTATTTGATATGGAAAAAATGTGAAAGCAGCAAAACACACACACACACACACACACATCTTCACATACACACACTGAGGTGTGTGTGGTGGGGTTCAGAACTCAAATTAGCAAGAGATTAAAAAAAATAAATCGAAATGGCTGCCTGCCTTGCCTTTATAGTTTTAGTTTTTTCAGTCTCAGAAAAAAAATTCACTTCGGGAAGCCCAATGTGGATCAGGTCTCCAGTGAAGACCTTGGGACTCAAGAAACATGGACAGAGGAGTTGACCTAAGCCCCAGTGTATCCCTCATGTTCAGCACATAACATACCGCCGTCAAGTCAGTTCTGGCTGATGATAAGCCCAGGAGATTCTGAGTAGCCCTGTTCCACAGGCCTTTGTTGGCAGTAATCTCCACAGAAAAAGACCATCAATGCCTTTCTCCCAAGGCACTGGTGAGTGGGCAGGGTTCATACTGCCACCCCTCCAGTTAGTAGTCAAAGATAAACTCATGGTGCACAATAAAATAAAAATCACACCCAGTAGTATCAAGTTGCTTTTGACTTCTAACAATCCTTAAATGTTAACGGAAATGTTTATGGAAACAGACTGCAACAGCATCTTTTTCTCCCGCTGTGTCCAGTAGGTCCTAACAGCTGACCTTTCAATTAGGAGTCAACACTTTAATCACTTGCTACTAGGGCTCTTTTGTGTATTAATAGTTACTACTATGAGCCATCGAGTCGCCTGCGACTCATAGTGGCCCTATGTACAAAGCGCTAAAACCTGCTCTATCCTGTGCCAACAAATTAAGGGTCTAAAAAAAAGTATCTGGCGAATAAACGAAAGGCTGAGTGTAAATTTGAATAGTGGTGGCTTTAATAGCAACAAATAGCTAAAGCTTCCAGCACTGAAGCATGCGTGACTTAAGAAATGGACTTTGCCTGACTCATCCCTATAAATTTTCAACTCTCAGTACACTTTGACATAGAGAATTCTCTAAATACATATCTGTAAGCGGAATGTGTAACTGTATTAAGGGAAAGGGAGTTGTGGCTTTTAAACAAGCTTTAGAATCACCTGAAGGGGTCTTATCCAAAATGTGTCTGAATCAGCAGGTGAGCTGAGGCTTGAGAACGTGCACCTCTAACACGTACTCAGGTGATGCTAATGTTGCTGGTCAGGGTACACGTCTGGAGAATCCAATCAGTTCATTACTTGTATTTCACAATAACCTGTGCTATTTGAAATGTCCTGGTCCGTATCTTTACCTTAACCTCAATAGGAACAGGGGTGGTACTGACTGAGAAAAAATGCAGGCAATCTGAAAATGCTACACTGTGTCCAGCCTGCAGCCAAGCTGAGCACTGCTAATTCAGTCCAACTCCCATCTTACAGATTTGAGGAACTGAATACCAGAGAGGATAAGTGACTTGCCTAGGATAATAAAGCTATTTATTTCTTCAGATAAATTTCCAACATTATACACTTAACAACCCTTGTCAGATCTCACAACCTCTTAACTCTGGAGGGCTGAGGGAGGGTTGGGAAGAAAGCTGTGTTTAAACTGAGGTTTCTAGATGTCTGGTATTTCTTCTTGCTCTTGTTTTATAGAGACATTTTAAACAGATACATATTTATAGAACTTACCACTCTAAACAAGAGATGAGAGAGACAGAATTATGGAATACTTTCAAGACAAGGCAATCTTTTAAATTTTAAGTACATTCTCAAACACAAACCAAGTGTTCCTTCTGAGTTCTTAAACAGATGTTCTTCATCTCTGAATCAATGAATGGGCAAGGCTTTGCTTGTGATGTGCACATTAATTGCTGGCATGTAAGAGGAAGTGCTGGTAAAGTGTTTGAAAGTAGTTATGTCTCTTAAAAAGATTAAAAGTTTCCTCTAGAACTTAGTTTCTATTAATGATTGGCTTCATAAATATTTTCAAGCAGACAGAATAGAGATTGTGCCGTATATTTCCTTCAAAGTAAGCAAAGAGCTACAAAAGGCCCATAGAGATCACTGACTTGGGCATTTTCATCACATGGGGGGGAGATGAGCTTCAAAAAGGACTATTTACCACTCCTTAGTCGATGGAAAGGCTGAGATTGGAACTAGAAACCAGAGATCTGAGTCCTGAGAGGTATTCAAAGTCTTTCCTATCAATAGCCCTTGCACATTGCACACATGCAATAAATGCTGAGTGACTGACTACATAAACTTGTACCCAAATTAGGTAGTTAAACCTCCCTCATTTGTTAGACAGAAGTAAATGACATCTCATTGTTAATGGAAAACTGGTTACATGTACTGGTTTACCAGTCAGGATAAAATTCAAATCCTGATATTTCCAGGATCGGGAACTCTGGTGGCATAATCCATAGGGAGTGACACTGCTAACACAAAGACAGAGTCTGTCTTGAGGTTCGAATCCACCAAAGGCTCCGTGGGAGAAAACTGGGCAATCTACTCCCAGGCTTATTTACAGTCTCCTAAAACCCACTGGAGGGCCAGCTACGAGTTAGTTCTGACTTGAAGGTAATGAAGGTTGTTTTGTTTAGAAGTCATCACTTCTTAATTGTGATCTAAGACAAGTGATTCCACATCTTCAAAGCTAGAATTTCATTGTGTGTGTGAATGATAACAGGCTGTAATTGTTGAGGAGAATAAAGAATAAAAAGACAAAAAGATCTTAGCTTGTGGTCTGGTACATAGTAAAAGCATTCATGAATTCTTCTCTCATGAAATAGAAATCCTGAGGATGTTTGAGGGAAGGAGTGAGAGAAGATGCTGGGGTAGGGGGGAAACTAACATAAGAAGATAAACACTATTTCTCACAAAAGTTGTTTTGGTATCCTGTGATTATTCATAAACAAGCAAGCAAGAATCATTAAGCTAAAAATTGCAAGGGTTTTTGAGACTCAAATGAGTCTGAACCTCTCTCCAACCTTAGAAGAGAAAAGCAAACAAACATTTCAATAGATGACATTCAACTTTCAGCAAAATTTTCATGTGAATACCCAGGACTGTGCCCAATTCCCAGCCAACCCAATGCAACTTCACCTCCTTCTCATCTACTGAAAAAGAAGTAGTGAATGAATCTAATTTAATTTAATACTAAAATGAAATCATCATTAGAAAGAGTCAATTCTTCTACTTTCATTAACAATAAATTATTTTCTCATTGTTAATCTCATCTACGGAGTTGTGGTGGCCCACTGGGTAAGGAATTGAACTGTAAGTCAAAGGTAAGAGGGTCACATCCACCAGATGCTTAGAGGGAGAAAAATGGGCAATCTCTCGTGTGATTTATAGCCTCTTAAAACCTGCTAGAGGGTCAGCTATGAGCTGTCTCCACTTCCTCTAAAAACAACAATGATTTTACTGAACCTCCTTCATCTTAATGTTTGGGAAACTAAAGCTTCAGAGAAATGATTGAGACTCAGAGTCACACATCAGAGCTGTGACTAAAATACAGGCCTATTGGCTTATTGTCCATCACTTATTCTACCATATGAACTCTGCCTTTTATAACAGTGCTATACCTAATATTAGCTGGGAGCCAAAATTACCAGACCCGAGTCTGGCTGCGATGACTCTTTTCTTTCCAGGTTAAGACCCGCATACTTTTCTCACATTCCTCCACAATCCAACCCTATAACCATCTCCCCTTACCCAGAGAGTACACTTACATGTCCACAAATCTTCTACTGAGGTGTATGGAAGAGGCCACATCCATCTTCAGTGGTGGGTCCCGGGTCACTTTATACTGCAGAGGCTTACACGCAAGGCAGTGTGGACTGTCTGCGGTGGAGGTGAGCATGGCCGCATCAATCTCCAGGTGTTCATCCAGTGTGTAGATTTGGATCCCATAAACCTCCTCATCTACATCCAAGAGTTTGATGGTCAGTGGGATATCACAGAAGACGTTCTGAGGGCCCAGGGAGATGTTCTTCCCATTGACGGTCAAGAGTTTGATATCATTGACAGCCCCGCTAGAGTCCCAGTCAGAGGAGACAAAGGTCACCCATATGGTCAGAGACTCAGGGACCAATGGGTAGCGAAATTCCAGTTCAAGGTAGCAGCCTTGTGGCTCAGGGCAAGCTGGAGGAACCGTATGTGGGTTGACAGCTGAATTTGGGCTCCAGGTGCGGACACTGGATTTACATGGTTGTTCAACATCTGGGTGACCTGTAGAGAACATATGAGGGAATCAGTCCTTAAGGAAAGACCTTCAGTTTAGCTCTCAGACTTTCCTACAAACCTGAGGAGAGAATGGCCTAACAAGAGCTCAGGCAGAGGGGCAAAGAGAAGTATTCGTGGTGTCTTAGAAAATCTGCTGTGTGTTTAGTATCTAGTTTGCCCCTATCTCTACGACATAGATCTTGGACAAATCATCAAACATTTGGCCAACACACATTCAAGGTAGTCTTACTATTGAGTTAATGTCCAATTTCCTTTCTTATTTCCCCCTTGGAGCCTGTGTTGTCTAAGATGAAAAGAAAGGACACAATTTGTTAATGTTGTTATTTATTGTTAAGTTCTGTGAACAACAGATCTGAACCTTGCCCTATACTGTGCCATCCTCACAATCTCTGATATGTTCAAGTCCATCATTGCAGTCACTGTGTCATTCTATCCTGTTGATAGATTCTAGCCTCCTATGACCTCTATCTTCTATCTTTATGTGACTCTACATTTTCCAGCATGATGTCTTTTTACCAGGACCAGCCTCTCCTGACAACATGCCCAAAGTATGTAAGACCAAGTTTCTCTATCCTTACCTCTGTGGAGTACCCTGGTTGAAGTGTCACACTAAATTCCATTTATTTGTATCGTTACTGCAAGAACTCATTTGACATGTGACTAGGCACACCAGTGTGGAGTAAATTATCCAGAGTGACCAGACTATAAAGCATAAATGTCAACATTAGAACTCAGAACTGTCTCATTCTAAGCATGTACTTCTCTGTATTTGTCATATTTCCCTCAGAGGCCACTAAAATAAAGTAGAATCCATATGATACTGCCTGTGGTATAACCAACAAGAAATATCAGAGGAGGCAGAAAACCTCCTCTTTAAATATCATTTGGTCCATGGACTGAAGATTCCAGGAAAAACTTGCCTAGAACCATGAACAACTGGAAGGCAATCTTGGAGTGAGCTTATCTCTCCTCCTCCTCTTCCCCACATGAGGTCATTCCATACCACGAAGTTTCTTTCTATTCTGTCCAGTTTAACTCAGAAAAGGGAGGGCTGAAGAGGGGTGGGCGGGGGGAGGGGGAGAAAAGGAAGGATTCTTCTAGTTTTTCCCCAGGGAGAAGATGCCTCATCCCCACTGATCTCAGCCTGCAGTGAGTTCTGAATTTTTCTCTGCTGAGATCACCAATCCTGGACCCTCAGAGAGCTCTTTTGCACTGCTGAGAAAAGGAATCAGGACTCAGGGTAATGATTGGCTTGAATTTATTTAAAGGAGTCTAGTGAGAGACACAATTCAGCTGGGGAGAGCAGCATGAAAGACCTCAGGTTGCTCCATTAGGCACTTGCTTTTTGTTTAATATCAGTGGCCTGTGGGAGTTTGA